CTTTTGGGGGGGGAGGGGGGATGATATTAGCTAAATTAATGAATGTAGAGGGTTAAAAAATGACCGAAATATTTTTAGAAAATGTTTTCAAAAAATGTACCAAACAACTATTTGACATTTTATCCAACTCTGATATAATTTTTAGATATTATATCAAACGCATTCTCAAAATTCTATCCTATTTGATTTAATATAACTCAACCCAACTTAAAAATTGTTTTTCAGAATAACATTTTTCAAATAATCTACCAAACAGACCCTTGGATTTCAATTTTCGGTGTGACATTAAATGTTTGTATCTTTTTACGAAATTATTTAGTATTAATTCATCTATTTTATTTATAAAGTATTAAATATCCTTTATTAAAGAGTTTTTGATAATTTTGTAAGAGATAATTTGATATTTTTAAAAGGGTTTTTGATACTTATAAGGAGTTTTTCTTTTAATACTTTTTGATCCTCGTATAGTTGTCCTATCGAAAATGTGGTATTAACTAGTGTTCTGAAAACCGGATCAGACTGGACGGTCGGACCATTTCAACTAGGAACTAGCGTCATCTCTAGTCTGGTTTCTCTTGAAAATTGGTATTCTTAATCAAACCAGATTGGGCCGCGGTTGGACCATCAGAATAGTGCTGAATTGCGGTCCAATCGTGAGTCAATCCCATTGGATTCTAGCATCGTTTGAGGGACATAACACCACCATAAGACTTGACGGCATCTCCGTGACAAAACCCATCCATTTTTGGTGGCTATCGTCCAACCTTTCGTCGCTCGCTATCCACCTATCGTTCACGCAACCGTCGAATTTCCTTCTTGATTTTGACGCCGTTAGAACTCCCTGACACCATCATAAGATTCGCCAGCACCTCTACATCGAAAGCCCCATCATTCCAAACTTTGATTGGCCGTCGATCTTCATCCACCTATTGTTCATGCAACCGTCGACCTTCCTTCTTGATTCCAGAAAATTTTGCCATCGGTAGAACTCCCTGACACCACCATAAGATTCGTCGGAATCTATACATCAAAAGCCCCATGATTCCAAACTTCAATTAGTAGTCGATCGTCACTACCGCCACCACTCACTAGTCTCTTTGCGCGATAAGGGTGTTTTGGATAGATTTCAAACCTTAAGGGAGTCATGCGTAATTATTTAGGAGTGTTTTTTATGAATTTCAAACATTTAGGGACTACAATATGATTTTATAGGATACGGTCTAACCGACCAATCCAACCGGCCAAACTGGAAACCGGATCTTTGAACAGGTCAAGGTTCGGTCCGGTTTTCAGAACACTGATGTTAACATTTAAATAGTTAGATTTGTTGCATCTAAAATTGGAATTAATCTTAATATGATAGACATGACATTACGATTAATTACAACATATGGGGACCAAATTATGTTTACGTGGACGCCATGCATATCATGTGTTTATGTAGTGTAAAATAAAATTTTTATTTAGTACAGTATATGCATATCTTTGCATTTGTACCGGTCTAAGTTAGCATGATTCAAGATATTAATGCTCTGTTTACTTAATGGATTTGACAAAAAATGGAATGAGATTGGGGATGGAAAGGGGATGAGATTGAGAATGAAGGAGAGAATATATTGGATTGTCTTGTTTACTTTTTATAAAAAATATTGAGGGAACGAAATAAAATATATAATATATGGAAAAAAATATCCTTAAGTTGAAATGATTTTATGTTCACTTTAATAAGCAATATACTCTATTACCAATTATTTAGTAAAAAACTTACCTTATGATTAAAAATATTTCATAAATACTTAAATTAAAATCAAATATTGTAAGTAATTAATCTATTATTTTTCTTATATTGTATGTTTTAATTTACCAATATTATAACAATAACGTGAAAGCGTAATTATAAACTATATTTGGGTGGTCGAGTGGTTTGATATGGACCATTGGGTGTATTATTTAAGAGGTTCTAAGTTTGAGTCTCTTCTCGAGTGTTAATAGGGATAGCCATTGGAGCTTTTATTCGGTTGGTAGTTTCAAGATCTCGAAAGATTAGTTGAGGTGCGTGTAAGCTGACTCAGATAACCCCCGGTCATCAAGAAAAAAAAGGTTTCTAATAGCAAGTACCATTTAAAAAGATAAGAAAAAAACAATTAATGTCACAAATAATATATATTATTAATGTTATCTAATACATACTATGATTTTACTTGTAATGATAAATACTAAATAATATAAAATATTGTTTGTCAATGCAATATAATGTTTATATTGATATAGTTATTTATTAATTTCTTCATTACAATATAAAAAACATAAATTTTATTTAAATAAAAAAATTATAAATTTTTTAAAGTCAACCACTGGTTAAAGACGTCAGTCAGTGATTATTCAACACGCTTCTGGCGCCACCACCAACAGATGAATGATCAAAGATAGACGGCCTATCGATTTGGATGTGTTGCAACCATCACCGCGCGACTGTCCTGGTGGTCTCACGTGCGCAATTTTTTTTNAACTTAGGTTTCAAAATTTTTCCTAAACTTTAATACTTTATCCACACACATGCACTTTTCTCCCACCTATCAAGCCGACAAACCCCTTTTTTCTTCAATTTGTCAGGTAATATCAATACATTTTATATTTGTATTATTTTATTTTGAAAGTTTAAGGTTAAATTATAGATTAGGATCTAGGATGAAGAAATTGCCATTGGGACCACAAACTGTACCCATTTTTTTATAATGTCCTAGATATACAGCTTCAAGAGTTGAACAATCATTTCAATGACTGAATCGCTTATTTTTTTTGGCATGTTTATGTCCAAATAAATCATTTGTTGCTTTTGATAAACAAAACTTGATATGCCTTATTGAACTTTATTCAAAAGATTGTTCTGACTTAGAACTTATGGCATTTGATTCTCAACTTGATGTTTATATTTTGAATATGCACTCTAATGTCAAATGTATGAGATTGAAGATCTTGTAAAAATAATGGTTAAAACTAAGAAGGATAGAGTGTTTTCATTAGTTTATTTGTTGATGAAATTAACATTGATTCTACCTGTTGCCACTGCTAGTGTAGAGAGAGCATTTTCAATAATAAATTTTGTGAAGAATTGTTTGCGAAATAGAACGAGTGATCAATGATTGAATAATAGTTTAGTTGTGTATATAGAGAAAGATGTATTTGATAGTATTGATAATACAATCATTATCCAATACTTTCAAAAGATGAAAATTTTATAAATACAAAACTTCTGCTTATTTTAATTTAAAATTATATTGTTCTTCCAACTTTAACCCCCCTACATTTCATTTATGACTACATCACTGTGTTAAATCTAAGGTATATACACTGATAAAAAAGATAGACATAGTTTGAAAAAACTAGTACATGTACCCATGTAGTGTTGGGAATGTGCAAAGTCATCTTAAAAGTCTAAAATTTTGTATTCTATTCAATGTTTTTCTCTGTATGTAAATTCTATAAATATATTGTACTATAACAAAACTCATGCAATCTTCAACCAATTCAAGTGATACCTTTCCTTTTTCCTCTAGCAAATCAACCAATTATTACTATGTGGAGGCAAGTTCCTTAAGACGAGACCTAGAAAAATTGTAACTTATTACAATATGAAATTTATTTTTATTCTTAATTGAGAATAAATTCAAGTAAAGTAGGTCTAGCTTAAGAGGAGATATTATATGTAGTTTAGTAAAGAATCTTGGAGTGTGTTTTTATAATTATTCAAAGTCAATATGGGGTTAGTTTGTAAAGTCTTGGGATGAAATGCAAAACGCAGTGTTTAGTTTGTAACTAATATAAAACATATAGGGTGTGTTTGGTTTAGAGAATGTTTTATTGCTGAAAAGGTAGGATTACCAGTGAGATAGATTACCTTGAAGATTATGGGGGAATGTTATATCAATATGTTTGGTTAGATTAGTGGGTATAAATAATTAAGATGTTTGGTTGGGAAGAATAAAATATTATTGGCAGAAGCTTTTACTAAATTGCCCTTCCTTTTTAATATCATTATATTATTATTATTTAAATAAATTATTTTTAATCCCCAATATTTGAGAATTTAGCTAAAACACTTAATAACAAAGTTTAAATTTTAACAAAATACCCCTAACCACCCAAGACCACCACCGACTGCTAGCGGCAGTCACTAAAACGGTGCACAATCGTCAAGATTTGGCTGTTTTCTGCTAGATCGAAGGTCGAAAAAAGTTAGATCGTCGTACATCCGGCCGAAAATGGCCAGATCCATGCTAATATAGCTGTTTCTAACCAGACTGAAGGCCAAAAATTGCCAGATTATTATGGATTTGGCTGAAACAGCCACAAATGGCCAAATCTATTTTGGCTGTTTTTGGCCAGATTCACTACAAGTTGGCCGTTTTCACTACAAGTTGGCCGTTTTCGACCTTCGATATGGTCAAAAACAGCCAGATTGGCACACGACTGGCCAAATCCCAATGGTCGTGCGTCGATCTAGTGATTGTTACTGGTGGCCGATGGTTGTCTTTGGTGGTTAGGGATATCTTGTTAACTTTTAAATTTTTTGTGGCTAAGGTGTTTTAGCTAAATTCTCAAATGTAGGGGGTCTGGGGTAATTGTTATTTGGTAGACATTTGAGGGAAATTCAGTCTGAAATGGCTTTTATTTAAGGGCAAATTCGGTAAAAAAAAAAAAAAGATAACCCTAGTAAAAAAAGATTAACACCCTTGGACTAGGTGATCTGATAACCCCCAAAATCACCAACAATATTCACTATTGGGAAGGAAACATTCCTGTAATCTTATATTACTCTCATACCAAGCAAAGAAATGTCTGAAATCAAAGATNGTATTATTGTTTTCATTATTAGTCTGAATCAACAGTGTTAATTCTCATATTTTTTTGGGTTTACCACCTTCGTATTAATATTTGGGATCTTAATATTGGCCAAACCTTCTGTAATGTATTAGTTACTGCTCGATTGCACTGTGTGGGATCTTGTATTCATTGTATATATAATGTATTTTAGATGAGGAAGCCACTCAGAGCAATGATGCATCATGGAGCATGGATTGTTCAACAGTTCTTAGGGTCAAGACTGTACATATTAGCTCTCCTATTTTAGCTGCAAAGAGTCCCTTTTTTTATAAGGTGCGTGGTCTTGGCCTGTTTTTTGTTGTCTGTAATTGTACCGTGTCTCCCTTTATTGACTTGTCTTCTTTGTCGCTTCTTGCAGTTATTTTCTAATGGGATGAGAGAGTCAGAGCAACGACATGTAACTCTGCGAATACATGCCTCTGGTAAATTCAATTACATGTGAAATTCTGTATGCTTTTTGTTTGTCTTAATGTAGATATTTTTTGAACTTTTCTGGTAAAAATTTGGTACAAACATTTATAATTCAGTCTCTTCTCTGTTTGTTTTCCCTTGAGCAGAAGAAGCAGCCCTTATGGACCTCCTTAATTTCATGTATAGTAGAACCTTATCAACAATCACTCCTACTGCTTTGCTGGACGTGCTGATGGCTGCTGACAAATTTGAGGTTGCATCATGCATGAGATACTGCAGCAGGTTATTAAGGGACTTGCCAATGACCTGTGAGTCTGCTTTACTGTATCTGGACCTCCCTTCCAGTGTTTTAATGGCTGAAGCTGTGCAGCCACTGACAGATGCTGCAAAACAATTTCTTGCTGCACGATACAAGGACATAACTAAGTGAGCCCCTCTTCAATCCATATCCTTTTTCTTTCTTTGAGCAATTTCTTGATCGTTAAAAATGTGTTGTCTCTTTTGCCTTTGAATATGAATTTCTTTCTTTTTTGGTACAATGATAATTTTGATTTGTGTTCATCAATATGATGTGATGGGTGAAGATATACTATCTGGCAAAAATTTCTCTTACTTTGCTGGCTTGATAATATTGGAGCAAATTGTTTGACCACATTTTGTTTAAAGGGCTGCTTGTGGCACTCGTTTACTTGTTAAATCAGTGGAAAATCATGCGCTATTCATGTCTTTGTTTTAGTTGACTAAAACCTTCGTAATTTATGAATCAGTGTTAAAGACAGTGTCTTTCTTTGCAGGTTTTCGGAAGAGGTTCTTCACTTGCCCTTGGCTGGTATTGAGGCAGTATTATCCAGTGATGATCTCCAGATAGCTTCAGAGGATGCTGTTTATGATTTTGTGCTGAAGTGGGCTCGGACTCATTATCCAAAATTGGAGGAACGACGAGAGGTCCTTGGCTCTCGACTCGGCCGACTAATTCGTTTTCCATACATGACCTGTCGAAAGCTGAAGAAGGTTTTAACCTGCAATGACTTTGATCCTGATTTTGCATCCAAGCTTGTGCTTGAGTCTCTCTTTTTCAAGGCTGAGACACCATACCGGCAGCGCTCTCTTGCAGCAGAGGAGGCCAATGCAATCCATCGTCGCTTTGTGGAGCGGGCTTACAAGTATCGTCCTGTGAAGGTGGTGGAGTTCGAATTGCCTCGTCAGCAGTGTATTGTGTACCTGGACCTTAAGCGGGAAGAGTGTGCACATCTCTTTCCAGCTGGACGGGTTTATTCACAGGCATTTCACCTTGGTGGGCAGGGCTTTTTTCTATCAGCACACTGCAATATGGACCAACAAAGCTCGTTTCACTGTTTTGGTTTGTTTTTGGGGATGCAAGAGAAAGGATCAGTTTCATTTACTGTGGACTATGAGTTTGCTGCAAGAACAAAGCCATCTGAAGAATACTTGAGCAAATACAAAGGGAATTACACTTTCACAGGAGGGAAGGCTGTTGGGTATAGAAATCTTTTTGGTGTACACTGGACAACATTTATGGCGGAGGACAGCCTTTTTTTTATTAATGGAGTTCTTCATCTAAGGGCTGAACTTACCATCAGGCAATAAGTATTTTTCACAAAATGTTGGGTATAGAGACCTGTTCGATTGGTCTTTTGCTTGTCTAACGGCCCTTTGTAGAAAATATCAGCAGGTATAGGTGCTTTTGGGCTATGCACTGTAAAAACTAAAATTTCAGAGAAAATAATTCATCATTTTACAAATGTATTATTGTATTGTGATTAGAATATATCTGATAGTATTTATTTATTTATTTTCTGACTTGATAATAGATCTAAATGACTTGGACAAGAAAGCAGCCCAAACTTTCTGTTGAGAGTTAACAAATTATGCAAATTTGGAGGCAAATTTCATTGGACTTTCAAATTTTTGCTTCAAAGTTACAAGCATTACAATTGTTCTTTTGAGCTAAGCCGTGTCATAAGTTTGTGAGTTCAAACATGTGCAAAAGGGCTACTTTTCAAAGGCACTAATTTCTGCCCACCTCTAATCTAAACCTATGCGTATTCAAGGCATCCAAAGCTCGTCTTATTGTTCTCTAAATCTTAAATTAAACTGTAAATAAAATGTTTATTCCTCAATGGAAGTACTGAGAATTAGTAAGCTTGCAGTTTAATGTTGTCGAAAAAAAGGAAATTTTAATTGTAAGAACTAAAAATTAAACACATGTAATGAAATGAGAGGAAACATAAGAACATTGCTCATGAAAGACAAGCATCATCATAAGGCAGAGGCTCTGGGATGCATTAGTGCAAGAGAATCATAGAAGGTGCCCACATGATGCATATACTTCTCATATGTATTTCTTTCTTTGAGAAATTATTAGTCATAACTCCAACACAAGTGCCCATGAGACCCTACACCTACAAAAAGCTTATTCCCGTAAGTCAGTGAAGAGAAGAGAGCAATCAGCGCACGTTTTTAGTGCTAGCATCCCGCAGTTCATGGGCTGGAATTTCTCTCTTTCTTTTTTGACGGGAATGATTAACAGGAGTGGTTAAAGCATCAAGCCGCTGTTACCTCAACGAGTGATGGGGATCACAACGGCTCAAGTCAAACAGCAAAACTCGTTACAGGATGTAAACAACTTTAGTTTTCTCTTACAGGGTCCCATTCCAGCCATGCCCAGAAATTTATCATCATCAACAAACCACAAACTAAGTTGCCGTTTGTAGCCTCTTCTCCTCAACTTTCCTGATACTTCAACTCCATGTCTTGTTTGTCATTGTTCTCATTAGCAGGGTATAAACATTTTGGTTTGCCACTCTTTTTAGCCTCAACATGAGCTTCAAAATCATCTGGTTGGTTCCCTGTTTATATTTCTTTCCCTTTGTGGATAGCTCAAAAAACTACACTACCAATTCTTTGGACGAATATCTTCAGGATTTTGCTTTCAAAACTTTGGTTCATCACCGGCCTCACCATTCGGGCGCTCTATACAAACCAATTCTCCCGGCTAATCTGTCAGGTACGAGAGTTTCAATTGTAAGGCTCAGAAGCCGGAGGTTATGGAACATCGGTGCTAATTTTAGCAACTTTCATATCCCATCTAGAACCATAACAGAGCCTCATGCCAGAAGGCTGGCTATAGTCTACCAAGACTTTGGCAATTGGTCTTCCCACTACTACAGTGTTCCAGGTTACTCAATCGTCACTCCTGTGATTGGTTTCATGGTTTTTGATGCATGGAATATACGGGCTAAAAGAAAGCTTAGTCTCAATACAATGGGAAAGCCTATAGTGATTCGTTTCTTCAATTCATCATTATCAGATGGAAGGGTCTCAAAAGCGAAATGTGTAACATTTAGCCCAAATGGTACTCTTCTCATGACTGAAATGAGTGAGCCTAATGTATGTTACTCTCAAGATCAGGGTCATTTCTCCATAGTAGTTCCATTGAATTTGAAGAAGAAGCATGCTCTGTGGTATTTGTGGGTGATTGGGTTTGGGCTTGGATTTGCTGGGTTGATTTTGATAGGTTACGTTGGGATTTTGTCAATGAAAGCTTTGAAGACAAAGAAGATTCAAGTAATGGAGAGACAGGCTGATGAAGATTTCGTACTTGATACCGTATGGGTTGGTAGGAGCAAAATGCCCTCTGCAACGGTGACAAGAACTCAGCCAACCCTCGAGGATGGAGGTTTCCCATAGTACTTATTTCCACATTATGAAATTTTGTTTTAGCCTCATGCTGCTCTTTCTGTTCTATCACATCAATATACTATCTACATATTATACAGCAATGTGATACTTGCATTCAGATTTGCATGAGCAATAAATGATAGTTATAAAATTGAAAACGAAAATTTGAAACATTATGGGAACTTGAGGATTTAACAGGCCTCGCAAGAGCTAGAGATTTTGGTGCATCCATCTTGCACAAAGAGCCCAGGTAATATTCATTATTCAGGAATCCAATTGGCCTGCGTATGTCAAATAATTCATACTCACCTAAAAGTGCATGCAAATATACTATAGGCTCTGTACATAGCTTCCACATTTTAAACATCATTTCAACCATAGCTTCCACATTTTAAATATCATTTCAACCATAGCTTCCACATTTTAATACCATTTCAACCATGGGCATCATCAGAAGTTCAAGAAACAGATTTTAAATGTCATAAATTATGACAAAATTACGCCAAAAGGTATGCAAACCGAAGATAGAGAGTGAGCATCAGGAGTCAAATGATTAAGCACTAGAAACACTATAAGATCCTGTAACTAAGAGGGAAGAGTGATAACACGCTAAACCAAATGTGATCTCTAAGAATACAAGCAAAGTCATATTTAACGCAATCAGATGTCCTCTGATGACACATAGCATCATATATTTAACACATACCTATGATTAAAAAGAATCATACCAATTCTTCCATTACTTGTAACTGGCCAACCAAACCACCATAAAAGTCCACCCAAAGAATATACTCGAGCTCCAGCATTAAGAAATCAAATGACCGATACACAGAGCTTTCTGCTCCATAAACTTCCAAGCTAACTATCATTGCTATATAAACCTAATTTTCAACCAACTACTTACATATCTTATATGATAAAAGAGATTGAAAATACAATATTTCATAAATTTCTAACATCCATAAGTAAGTAGAGGGATGAGTATTAGTTTCCTTTGAAATAAACTGACAGGAACATGATGGTGAAAGCTAAGAATTAACAAAAGGCATGAGCGAATTCTATCTTGTGTACTGCATATGAAGAAGGCATGCATTTCTTATTATTGGCAAAAACTGTGAGGCTAAACAATGATTTTGCTACGCCTTTATAATGCTTAGCATTGAATTCTCAACGAGACATACAATCCTCACTTAAATACCAACATTGTCAACACCCAATTGAAACATACAACTCAACAAGGAACCAAAAATACAGATAAACAAGCAGGAGGAGCTCAATTAAATGCACCAACACCAGTGCCACTCTTGCCAGCAAGTTTGGTCCATTCAGTATGGAATGCACCGGGGCGATCAATCCTCTCATAAGTATGAGCCCCAAACAAGTCCCTCTGAGCCTGAACAAGATTTGCAGGCAGCCTTGCCCTCCTATATGTATCAAAATAGGAAAGACTAGCACACATTCCTGGCGTGCTAATCCCGGCTGAAATTGCCATCCCCACAACTCTCCTCCACGCTGCCTGCCTCTGCACCATCTCCTTGGCAAACTCCGGGTCCACAACCAAACTCGCCAAATTAGGATTCCTTTGGTAAGCTTTCTTAATCCTATCCAAAAACACAGCTCTTATAATACATCCACCTTTCCAAATCCTAGCCAATTCACCAAAATTCAAATTCCAACCTTTCTCATTACTCTTACTCCTCAACAAATTCATCCCCTGGGCGTAGCTACAAATCTTGGAAGCATACAAAGCTTGTCTAACGTCGTCGATTAGCCTCTTCTTATCAACATTTATTCCAACATTTAGCACTCCATCCTTTAACCCCGCCTCTCTCAAAACCTCAGAAGCTTTCTCTCTCTCCTCCTTTAAACCACTCAAGGACCTGCAATCCAACGAAGCCGCAATCGTCGGGGCAGCCACCGAGAGCTCCGCAGCTTGCTGCACCGTCCACTTACCCGTCCCTTTCATTCCAGTCTTATCCAAAATCTTATCCACAAGCTCACCCTCATTACTCAACTCATCCTTCACTTTAAAAATATCCGCAGTTATCTCAATCAAGAAACTCTCTAACTCGCCCCTGTTCCATTCCGCAAATATCTCCGCCAACTCGCTGTTACTTAACCCTCCCACGTGTTTCAACACGTCGTAAGCTTCAGAAATCAACTGCATGTCTCCGTACTCGATTCCGTTATGAACCATTTTCACGAAATTACCAGAACCACCCTCACCTATGTAGGTAACACACGGCCCGTCCTCAACTTGAGCAGCCACTTTCTGTAAAATATCTTTCACGTTATTGTACGCTTCGAAAGACCCACCAGGCATTAACGATGGGCCGTTACGCGCGCCTTCTTCGCCGCCGGACACGCCCATGCCGAGATAAAGTAACCCCTTATGGCTAACTTCTTCGATACGACGCTCGGTGTTTAGGTACCACTCGTTACCACCGTCGATAATAGAGTCGCCAGGAGCCATGTGTTCGGATAGCGCGGCGATGGTCTGATCAACGGGGGAACCGGCTTTAACTAAGATGATGATAGATCTGGGGCGTTGGATGGAGAGAACGAAGTCACGGGGGGAGTAGTGGCCAGTCAAAGGGAGCTCACCCTCACGGTGGGCCCGATCTAGAGTCTCGTCGACCTTGGATGTTGTACGGTTGTAGACGGAGATTGGGAAGCCTTTCTCGGCGACGTTTAGGGCCAGGTTTTGGCCCATAACGGCGAGGCCCGCCAGGCCGATGCGAGAGAGAGCAGTTGAGGCTTCCATGGAGAGAAAAGAAGATAAATTTGGGAGGGATTGAGATTGAGTTGAGAGAGAAGGGAAGAGAAATGAGGTGGCGAGGAGTTGCAAAGAATTTATATAAAACAAAAAAAAGGAAGCAAGAAAAATGGGGCGGTTGAAGAGTGACGGACTCGTCGAGGGAACGAAAAGCCACTGACTTAACCACCAACCCAGAGGCTCGATGATTTCGAGGGACAATAAAATGGCCCCAATGCATTACGGCGTACTATTTAATTTATACAGTGGAATTTTTTTTTTTTTTTTTTAAAGAACTCAAAACGCACCGTTTTACATG